TCAGGAGAAGGGGGTAGCACTCCATTTCCAAGAAGTCTGAACCCCTTTTACTAAAAATCAAATAATTATTCCTTCCCTTTATTAAGACATAGTCAGTGAGGGGCAGCATCAGACCTGCCCCTGAGGGAGGGCATCTGAGACCAGGAAGAGAAAACTGTAGTTAATCCAGGTTCCCTAATCCCACAGGGTCTTCACTCACAGAGTCTTTGAAGTGTCCTTTCGCTTTGCAATAAACTGCTTTTGAGGGAATGTCTATTGTATGCGTGTAATGGAGAAACAGCACTCATTGAAACTGATTCTTCAGACTCCTGAGAGAGGGGGACCAGGGAAATGTAACAATGGGGCAGTTCTATTTTGTCCTATAGGGCTTCTGTGAGTCAGAATCTACTTCACAGCAATGAATTTGTGGGTTTGTTTGTTTTGGTCTGTGCCTCAATTTTCTTCTATGTAAAATGGGTATAATTAGGGTACCAAACTCAGGTTGTTATGAGGAGGAGATGTTATCCTATGCAGCATGCTTAGAACAGTGCCTGCCATGGAGTAAATGCTTGTACATGTTATTGTTAGGTGCTGCTGAGTCGATTTCAACCCCATGTGACAGGGTTTTTTTTTTTCTAAACTGTAATCTTTACAGGAGCAGAACCCCAGGTCTTTAATCCGTGAAGCTACTGGTGGGTTTGAACTGCTAGCCTTTCAGTTAGCAGCTGCTTGGAAGTGTCTTTCTCCTGCCCACTAGAAGGCTAAGCCAGGAGGCTGTCTGTGAAGTGGCCTGGGGTATGTAGTATCTCCCTGTCAGGCAGAATCCTGCCCTCCAAGGCAAAGGGGGAGGTGTCCCAGGCATGTGGGGATGGAATGATGGCTTGAGTGTCTACAAACCTTTCCCATTCCAAACCTTAACTCCTGCAGGACTGAGGCCAGTTTAAATGACTTAATGGGACAGTGGGGTCTGCCTGGTCTAGCTGCTGGGGTGCCCAGGATGTTCAGCTCCATAATCCTCTTGCTGACGTTGGATGAGGACACACGGGGCCCCACAGAGACCATCCAGCAGAGCGGACAGGCAAGAGGATATCCTAACAGGATTGTCTTTGCCTCTACCTTGTTCTCCCTTCCAACTTCTTTTTGGCCAATGTAAGGACAAGCATCCCCCCCCAGTCCTTATGAGCTGGTTTTGTCTGGATTAGTGACCAGGGAACCGAGGCCCACCCAAAGACCCCGAGGGACCCAGGTACTCAGAGTCTCCTCTCACAGCATATGTAAGTGGCTTGAACTGTAAGAGTTTGGGCAGTTGCCAGGAGACTTTCCGAGGCTGACGTTTAATCATGGCATGTCGCTGCTCTTCAGCACAGGCACCATTTGTGATCATCTGCTTGTCCTCAATACCCTGCTGAACTATCACCACTGGGAGACCACCCAGTTTCCCAGGCAAGCTCCCTGCTCCTGGAGCAGATAATAACAGAGTTCTCTGTTATCTTCCTGTGGCTCAGACTGAGAAGTCTTATTCATCTTTGTTCCCCAGGCCCCAGCACACTGTCCAGCATGTGGCAGGGAAATGCTTTGCTAGCTGCCAAGCAAACGTCCATCCAGGCTGACCTGCTATTCTATCAGCCTGAGACAATCAGCAAAAGATGGCAAACATCCCGCCCCCAAATCACACACCCTATTCTTGGCTTTACCTCTGCCCTAGCTTTCTCAGCCACTTCTCATTTTTGCCTTAAATTCCCTTGAGAATAAAATGAGGTGTGTGTGAAGAGAAAAAAAGTGTACTGCATTGTGTACACAAAAGAACAATGGATGCTTTAAAATTATGCCTCGTCCCACACTAGTCTGCTCTCTGGGAGTGTGGATGACAGACTTGCTAGTGCTTATATTTGTAACGGATGCTGTTATGAGGATATTCACACAGCAGATTCTTAACGGACAGTAAAGTCTAGGTGGGGATTGATCGCAGAATGGTGGCTGGGGACTGGTGGGGTCCTCTGAGAGACTTCCTGCCTACCCTGAGCCATATAACCTGATCATCCCTGGAATAGGGGTGTGGAGCATTCACCAAGCTGGGGCTCCCATTTGTAGCCAAATTGTACCTCATTCCTGGCTGGGTGCAAGACTCTTTCCAGTCCGGCCCTGAGAAAGAAGGGAAAATATGCCAGCCCATTTCTCCCTCCTCTCATGCCTTGACCTCTCCAGTGTCCAGAAATTCCCAGTAAAGCACCCATGTATTTACCTACAGGCACACACAGACACCAGCTCAGACTCTCCATGACCCTGCACATTTATCTGCTAGCTCTGATCTGTGTTTACTCCTCTACTAAACACACAGGCTTCAAACAGTGTAGGTCAGAGAGCAAACCCTGAGACCAGGTGCCTGGATTCAAGTTTTGGCTAGAGACCTAGCTTCTTTGAGCCACAATATCTTTTTACCTTTTAAATAGAAAATGCCCATTCATCGTGCTCCTATGAGGACTATACAAAAATAATAATAACAATACATCAAATGCTCAGAGCAGTTCCTGGTATGCAATAAGTCCCAAAATGCACTAGCTCTTGTCATTATCATTATAGTGATTGCTGTCATTGCTGCTATCTTCCCAGCTCTGACATTCCTAGGATTCTGTGGTTCTCTATACACTTGTAGACCCACTGTAGACCCACTGAATGCTCCATACAGATGCACATATATGGATACAGTCACACATCGATGCACACACTCAAACTAAATGTAGACAGAAATGTACACACACAGTTGGAAAATGCTAACCCCACCACCTTTCTGTACACAACAGGGAAACTGAGGCTCACAAATCCCTAGCTCTGCAGGGACATAGGACTCATCTATTTCTGGGATGCTGAGATCAGGTACAATAAACCTAGTGTGCCTATTTCTCCAAATCTCTCTCCTCACCCCTAATGTGGAATCTGAAAGTGAAAAAAAACCTCAGCTCCGTCACTCTGAGGCACAAAGAGGGGTAGTGACTGGCCACAGTGACCCAGAACCCAGATCCTGACTTTAACTCTGGGCTTTCTTTCCAGCCCACGCCACCACTATCTGCCTCCCTTACTAGATTCTGCACAGCGTGCAGGCACGACCTAATGTGCACACAGTCTCTGATGTCTGGTACCTGGTGCGTAGTCACTGTCCAGTAAGAGTTGATGACTAAGGGAATTTTTGAATGAAAGGGGGGGTGAAGGAACCCCAAAGATATCTTTCTCTTTCTCTTGCTTACCCAGTACTGGCCCCAGTGGGACATGGTCCAGGTCAGCAACACTCTACCAGGGCTGAGCTTCCAAATCAGGTCAGCTACCTCATCTCTGTGGGAGGGCCCATGATCCCAACTTTTTGAGCCCCCAAGGCTCCTAGTGCCCTGAGCAAGGCTAAGACACATACTCCCCAGGATCATGGTTCCAAGGTCCTCTTTTCTAGATGGCATAACTGGGGTCTGAAGTCACACACTGTCCAGAGCTGCCCTTCCCCAAGACAGGGCTTCTGGGCAGGGCCTATCCTAGCCCTGTACCTTGGCCCTTTCCAGGACCACCTGGAGGATCCAGTAGAGCGCGGCACAGCCCGGGAGTCCCTTCCAGCATTACATCTTGGGCTCTCCTAAGCCTATCTGTGAAATCATAAGCACCATCCAACACACAGGAGAGAGGTAGTGCCCACTTCCCAGGTCAGAGGTCAGCCTTCCCCCACAGAGAGAAGCCAGGTCAGGCCAGTGGCTGCCTACCTATCCTGACATCCCTATGCTTGTCAAAGGAAAAGAACCGAAATACCATAAGAGATGCTCTGAACCCATGATCTGGGCCCTCTCTGCCCTCCCAGCCTCGTCCCTCAGTCCTCCCATATAAAAAGATAGCACCCCACAGCAGGCTGACCACTCCCCGGACGCTAACACACCTCACTCCTATGCCCAGTCTAGAACCTCTCTTGCTCCCCCCATTCTCCCTGTCCGCTCCTTCCATGAGCCTGCTCCCCTCACCCAGCCAATCCAACCCACCCCCATTCCTCTGTGGACATTACACCCATTCCTCCGAATCTCGCCCACGATGATAGCCATTTCTCACATCAACCCTCTCCTCCCCCTGACTCCGGGGGCCTTGTGTGACCTGGTGCCAGCCCTTCTTCTCAGTCACGGTTGTTCAAGGCCTTCTTTGCCTCTCATCCCCCCTCATATGTGTCTCCTAGATTCTGCCTTCACCCGACATAAACCCCTTGGGTGACATCACCCACTCCTGTGGCTGCCAGGACCCCAAAATCCATATCTCCTACCAAGATCTCTCTCCTGAGCCTCAGATGCCTCCACAAGGACACCCCACTGGCATGTCCAGGTTATTGTGTCACATCAGAATCTGTCCTCCCTTCAAAACGCTCAGGGACGGCACCAGAATATACCTAGAGCCCCTCCTCCGCTCCATCCCAGCCCCTTGTGCCTCTCTCCAACATCTCTAGACTCGGCCCACTCTGCCCCATCGCCACAGCCCTGGTCCAGGTCACCAGAACAGTTTACTGATTGGCGCCCAGCACAGGCCACCCAGTGATCTTCCCACCCCTCCAGTCAGTCCACTTCCACACCACAGCGCAAGTGACCATTCAAAAATACAAAAGTCATCATTCGCACCCCTGCTTAAAGCCCAGGGCTCACCATGCCTGCAGAGCAAGCCCCAATTCCTTAACTTAACCCCCAGACCCTCCCTGTTGGGGCCGTGACCTTGCTCGCTAGGCGGCCCCTCTCCTGCCACAGCGCTTCACTGCCACCTGCAGGCCCTTTCATGTGCTGTCGCCTGGCCTGGGATGCTCTTTTCCCTCTTTGTCACCTGTTAGCATTATCCTAACTCAAGACTCAATTCAGAACTTGGAGGACACTTCCTCTGGGAAGTCGGGCCTGGCCCCCAATCATGGTTTCTGACTCTTAAGCTGGTCTCCCTTGATCACATCCTGCAACTGATGGGTCACTTGTCTGGAGCACACCAAGTGTTGGGGTGGGGGTAGGGTACAAGTCCAGCCTTACCTGTCTCTGTGGGCCCGTGGGATCTGACTCTCTCCGTCGAGGGCGGGGTCCCGAGTGCAGGGGTGAGTGAGAAGGGCTGCCGGGCGTGGGGGGCTGCGATGTCTCTGACCGGCCATCAGTCTGGCTCAGCTGAGGCGGTGGGGGCTGGGGTGACATGTGCTGAGGGTCCTCCTCGGCCAGTGTCTGCATGCTGCGTCCCCGAGGCCGCATGGCTGGCTCAGCCCCCAGCCGCCGCCGCTCCTCGGCCTCCTCAGGCAGCGGCCGCAGCTCCTCTGGCTCCTCGTCAGTGGTGCCTGATGTGCTGGGCTCAGCCCCCGGGGGGAAGTCCTTGAGCTCTGTCTCCTTGTCAATGATGACCCACTCCTTGCTGTCGAAGTCCTCCTCCTCGGCCAGTGGCACCGAGCGGAAGGCATTGCTCAGGGCCTCCTGCTCCACGGAGGCTGACACGTCCATGCGACCACTGGCCTGCCGGTCGGCATGGCCTGTGTCCACTGACAGCATCTGGGCCGGCTGCGAGGAGCAGGCCTGGCGTGAGGGTGAGCCGGGTAGATCCATCCGTGACCTGCAAGCCAGCCCACGTGGGGCTCAGTGCCCAGCTTCTCTGGACCCCCAAGGACCCCAAGCAGATAGTCCAGTACATATAACATAACACCTGAAGCCTCCTGACCACAGCACTCCCAACCCCCACCTGGGCCAAGCCTAGTCACCTCTTGGGTTGTACCCTTTCCAACCTCATTCCCTAGTCATTCCTTCCTTCATTCATTCAACAAACGCTTGTCTACTTACCATGTTCCAGGAATACAAAGACGCAGAAAACAAAATCCGATTCCTATGCCCAAGGAAAGGAATCCAGGTGATGTAGTGGATTTAGTGTTGGGCTGCTAACTGCAAGGTCAGCAGTTGAAACCCACCAGCCATCCCGGGGGGAGAAAGACTACGCAGTGTCATCCCATAAAGATCTATATAGTCTCAGAAGCCCTAAGGAGCTTTGTCCCTGTGCCAAGGACAAAGTCCACAAGGCCCCTCTCTGCCTCACTAACACCCAGTTTCTCCATTCCCCTAGTCAGCCCGCAAGGAGCTCTAAGGCATTTAGCTGCTAACCGAAAGATTGGCAGTTCAAACCCCCAGATGCATTATGGGAGAAAAGACCTGCTCCTATAAAGATTGGTGGTGGTGGTAGTTGTGTACTACTGAATCAGTCCTGACTCATAGCGACCCTGTATAGGGTTTCCAAGGCTGAAAATCTTTACAGGATCAGAAAACCTCACCTTTCTCCTGTGAGAGATTCGAAACTACTGATATTTTGGTTAGCAGCCCCGTTCATAATCCGCTACGCTACCAGGATTCCTTCCTATAAAGATTACAGCCTAGGAAATTCTTATGAGTCAGAATTGACTTGACAATACACAACATCGCTAACTAGCCAACACCCACCTCCACACCTCCGAGCCTTGATGGCTGTGCTGCCACTCCAGCTTTTGCTGTCAGATCAACTCAGATGTCACCTCCTGTAGGGAACTTTCCATCCATGATGGAGGGGTTAAATCATCCTCTCTGGAACCCGTGCCCCCTTCATCACACAGCAGAGAGCCTGTCTGTTTCCAGACTGCTGATCCTGCATTGGGACATCTCTCTGGTCTCTGTTGTGAATCTCACATTATTTGCAGAGGTTCTCAGCTGCGGATAACACCAGCCCCAAAGGGAGGGTACTGCAGGCAGAGGATGCTACACAAGGAAAAGGTGTCCTCTCCTGAATGCCAGGGTACCCTCATAGACAACCATTGGGGTTCACCACCTGGAGTCGTGTCACCTCCTGAGACATAGACACCAAGCCCATGAGTTAATAGCTCTTCACCTCCAGCAGGGAGGGATGCAGATCAGAACCACCTGTGGGACTTTTCTTAACATGTAATGCCCAATCTTACATTATTGTTGTTGTTAAGTTGCTGCTGAGTCAGTTCTGACTCATAGCAACCCTGTTTCCAAGGAACAGCTGGTGGGTTTGAACTGCTGACCTTGTGGTACACAGTCTAGTGCTGATCCTACAGTGTCACAATATGGGACTTGCCAAATCTGATTCTATATAGTATATCTGTTGATTTGTTAATATGACTTAAAATAAAGCTATCCCTGACAGAGAATGTCTAAGGTCTATATTTATATTGTTGTTAAGTGCCTTAGAGTTGGTTCTGACTCACAGTGACCCAGTATAGAGTTTCTGAGGAGTAGCTGGTGGGTTTGAACCACTGACCTTGCAGTTAGCAGCCCAGTGTTTATCCTACAGTGCTATACCAGGACTCAATGCAAAAAGCAAACTGCCATATTTTCCTCCTACAGAATTGATAACTTTTCAGTTAACAGCTTAACCACTGTGTTACCAGGATCTCTTCTGTTATTAAGTGCCATTGAGTTGGCTCCAACTGATAGTGACCCTGTATAAGATTTCCAAGGAGCAGCTGGTGAGTTTGAACCACTGACCTTGCAGTTCAAACCGACCTTGCTGTCCAGCACATAACCCGCAGCGCCACACCAGGACTCCCTCTTCTTTATACTCCCATGCAAATGGCTAGTATCATTTTCTTTCCTAAGAGAATTTGTTTTAATGGACACAAAGGAGAGGGTGCCTGAGGACAGAGTATGGGGCGAATTGAAGACGGAGTAGGAATGGGAAGTCTACGTCCCATCCACTGTATGATTTCTCCTGCTCCCAAGTATCCTAAAGCATGTCTAAACTTTTTTGTACAGTTCCACAAGAGAAAGATGTAGCAGTGTGCTTTTGTAAAGACTGTTGTTGTTAAGTGCCATCGAGTCGGTTCTGACTCATAGTGACCCTGTACAGGGTTTCCAAGGAGTAAGTGGTGAGCTTGAACCACCAACCTTGCAGTTCAAACAGTCTTGGAATTCCTATGGGTGCAATTTTATTCTGTCCTATAGCGTCACTCTGGTAGTGTAGTGGTTACGAATTGGGCTGCTAACCTCAGGGTCAGCAGTTCAAAACTACCAGCTGTTCCGTGGGAGAAAGATGAGGCTTTCTGCTCCCGTAAAGATTTACAGCCTTGGAAACCCTGTACAGGGTCGCTATGAGTCGGAACCGACTCCACAGCACATAACAACAACAACATAACAATAGCGTCGCTATGAGTAAAGAATCAACTCTAGGACAATGGGTTTATGAGATCAGGGGGAGTCTCTGAGTGGTGCAAAGGTTAACATACTCAGCTGCTAAGTGAAAGATTGGAGGTACTAGCCACCCATAGTTACCTCAGACAAAAAAACTGGTGATCTACATCCAAAAACCAGCCATTGAAAACCCTATGCAGCTCAACTCTACTCTGACACATATAGAGTAAACTCAATGGCAGCTGATTTTGGGGAGAGGTGGGGGCCTTCTGTTTCCCCCAAAAAATCTCTTTGGCCCCTTCCAGTTCTCATTATTCCTGAACCAAGGGTTCACTCTGAGCCAAACTAATTATCTTGTTGTTGTTAAGTGCCATCGAGTCGACTCCGACCCACAGCAACCCTGTATAGGGTTTCCAAAGAACAGCTGGTGAGCTTGAACTGCCGACCTTGCAGTTCAAATGGCATTACAGTTTGTGCATTAACCCACAGCACCACACCAGGACTCCTAAAAGTGAACAGTCCTTAGGATTTTCTGTTCAGGGCATTTTCCACGTCTATTTTCCCCTTGTATGCTCTCCAGACTTCTTAATTTCTCACTGTCTCCAGACCCTCGGTGCTAAGGGACTCATGGCTACCAGGGATGAAAATTTGGTCTTCTGGTCTCTGGGCAAGTCAAACCGTTCTTGTAAGGGTATACGAGAGCGGCCAGCTTCCCCGAGGGCAGGGCCTAGTGAAGGGCCCCCCTACCTTGGGCATCTCCCACCCTGCAGTATGACCCAATTCAGAGGGGAGGTGTAATCTGGGCTATATCCAGTAGACAGAGTCTGAGGGGGACATGAGGAGACACACTGAAAGGGTACAGAGAAATGATCTCCAGGGCTGGGTGGCAGACCGCTTGCTTTCCTGGTGCAGAGAAGGCCCAGCCCTGCTGTGGGGTGAAGCTCCACCTAGAGGCCACAAGAGGAAGTGAACATCTCCCAGCGTTCTCACACCCACCAGTAGTTGAAAAGGGTATCTGACCTGGCGCCTGCCTGCTACCCACCATTCAAGATCAACCAGCCACCCTCTCACTCTACTCCAAGTAGTGCCCCACCCCCATCATCTGATGCTAAACACTCACTGGCTCTAAACTCTCCAACACACTCTCCCACCAACCAGATTCCTGATGGTTTCTTCTCCCTCATTCCTGAGCCTCCAACATGGTCTGTCTCCTTCTCCAGCTAAGCAGTGCCCTGAGCCCTTCTCCCAGGTTCCTTTGCCCAAAGCTGAGGGGATCCTAGCTCAGCTGCTCTTGGGAGTTCTGGGGCTGTAGGATAAGCACTGGACTGCTAGCCAAAAGGTCAGTGGTTCAAATCCACCAACCATTTCTCAGAAACCCTATATAGGTATAGCGTTGCTATGAGTTGGAAGTGATTTGAAGGCACTTAACAACAACAGGAAAACAGGTTTTTGAAGCACCAAAAAAACTAAACCTACTGCCACTGAGTCCTGGTGTGGTGCTTTGGGCTAATGCGTCAGAATGCAAAGTTATTTGAACTGCAAATTCGGTGGTTCAAGATCACCAGCTGCTCCTTGGAAACCCTATACAGCGTCCCTATTGGTTGGAATCGACTCAATGGCACTTAACAACTGCCACTGAGTTGATTCTGATGCATAGCTTTTCCAAAGCTTCCTCCCATGACTTGATCTGTCAACCTTGCAGTTAGCAGTCCAGTGCTTATCCTACAGAGTTACACACATCTCCCGAACCATCCTCTACCCCCAAGTCTGAGGACCCAGCTTGTCCCCCCCAACCCCATTGCCTGGGCCTCCTCCACCCATTCATGAGCTGGAACCTCTCTGGATCCCTCAACCTCTCTCAGACCTTGGCACTGACCCCAACCAAGTTTAACCCAGGCCCAAGTGTAACCCCCTCTATACTTCCCAGGCTTCTTACCATCACCGTCTCACATCTGACCTGCCCCCAGGCCAGCCATGTGAAGGTAGAAGGATGTGGAACCCTGACCATGCCCCTGGCTGGACCCACCTCCTCTCATGCAGTTCCACCCGCCCGTCTGCAGTGGACAGCCTTTCCGACTCAGGACTGTTGACCCTCCGGTAGCGCAGAGAACGGACTGGGGTTGTCGGCGAGTCTGGGGGAGCACGCACAGGGGAGCTTGGAACCCCCATACCTCGGCTCTGCTCCTCCTCCACTACACAGGGGGTCTGCAGAAGAGGAGTACCATGAGCTGAGGCTGACAAGGTAGGGTCAGGGGATTTTCTCAAGATGAAGGAGACAGAGGAAGGATGAGGATGATTCTGAGGAGGGGCAGGGCCAGGGTGGTGGAAGGGACCAGCAAACAGAAGCCAGGTAAATGAGCATACAGATGGGGCAGGCGCTCAGGCAGAGCCAAGTGGGGCCAAGGGTTGGGGTTTCGGGGAGCCCCACCCCTCTCCCTGACTGCATTACTTTGCCAATGTTGATGCGGAGCTTGTTCCGGTTGACATCTGTCTCCTCCCAGACATCGGCTTCAGGACCCCCGGGATGGGGTGTAAGGTGAGGGCCTGAGCCCAGTCCTTCGGGGGGCCGCCCAGGCAAGATTGGGGGTGCATTCTCCTGGTCGCTCAGGTGCTCGCCTTGCAGCACGTCCTCTGTGTTCTCCCGGAGAAGGTCCCCCGGCACCGGTGTTACATTGACCACCCTGGAGAGGCCAGGAGGGAAGGAAGGGAAGGTGTCCTAAGGCCTGCCCCACCAGCCAAGGGGACTTTAGTAAGATCAAAAACTGTAAATGAGGATACCCACTCTGTCTTGATTGAGGAAGGAGATGTGGTAGAACTTCCTGAAGTTCAAGAAACCTACTGCTAAGCACCCAGCATTGGAGAGCTAGGCAGGGCTGGCCAGGTAAGAAGAGGAGAGGGATGGTTTCTCCCACTGACAGCTCTAGGCAGAGGCAGCAGGCCACCCCATCTGCTCATCACTTCCTCCAGAGACTCACCCAAACATGGCTGCCGTTTGCCGTGTGTTCTGCTGTGGTGGAGTAGACGTGCTTGTGGACAGGAGGGCGTCAGTGCCTGCCTTCTCCCAGTCAAAGGCCTCATTCTCAGCGATGCCCCGCTCCTTCATGCTGTTCTCAAACACCGACATGATCAACTGTGGGAAGGGGTTGGTGGGAGGACAGAGAGGTGATCCTGTGGCTAGCCAGAAGGAAGGGGCAGTTGCTGGAATTGCAGGGGGGAGAGGGGACTTCCAGGACAGAGGTGGTCCTGGAGGGGGCATTGGAAGGAGAAGGACACATTGATTTTAAATGAAAACATGCATTGGATATGCAAGTCAGCAGGAAAATGATCATCTCAGTTTAAACCTCATTGGATGGACCTATTGTTGTTGTGGAGTCAATTTCTATTCCTAGCAATTCTGTATAGGATTTCCGAGAAGCAACTAGTGAGTTTGAACCACTGACCATGAGGTTCAAACCGACTTTACAGTCCAACGCATTAAGCCGCAGCACCGCACCAGGACTCCGAAATCTTTCAAAATGTGGCCTCTGATGACCACTTCAGCCTCCTCTGCCATTCCCACCAGTTCAACACAGGACCAATGGTCCTCCCTTCTTTCCCAGACCCACCCACCACACAGATCTGCCTCCTTGTGTACCATCTCCCTGATGCCCCCTGAGCTCCTCCACCCTTAGGGCGCATCCTTCTGAGCTCCCTTCTACACACAATGTTACTAGACACAGTGGTTGACACACCTGTCTGAGTCCTGTTCTGCTCCTAACCATGGTATTGGGACTCAGTTTCCTCATCTATGAAATAGGACAGTCATCCCACTAGGCGTCCTGGTGTAAAGCATTTGAAAGCACTTGGTTTTACTGACTGCTAAGTGTTGGAATAATCAGTAACACTCACTTCCCTACAAAGCTGATATTCAAGCTCAAATGTGTTAATGCCAGGAAAGCACTAGGAAGAGGGCTCTGATGAGATTGTAGCAATGGCCGCTCTTCAAAAGAGCACAAGAGCTCCTTGCCCAGTCAGCAGGGGCACAGGCCTTGGCAGGAGTGGGCGCTGCTGGAGAAGGTGCCCAGGGAAGGAGGTGGAGGTGCTCACCTGGTAATCGGGCTTGGTGAAGTAGTCAAGGCTGGCGATGTGGTCCAGGAAGAGGTGGAATTCTGAAGGCATGTGTTTCAGCAGCATTCGGTGCTCATACTTCTCCTTGATCATTCCCACCTGCTCCTGGAGGCAGAGGGCATGGGGAGATGGAGCCCAGCCATATCCACAGCCCCTCACCCCCCTCAGACTGGCTATCTGGGCCTCACCTTGTCCTTGATCTTCCTCCATGGCAGCTGGCCCACTGCAAACTCCACCAGCATGTAGAAGAGGGACCACAGGTCATCATGGCGGCCCATCTCCTGGGAGGCAAGGGAAAGGGGTCGCCCACATGTTCTCAACTCCTTCACTGGGAATGGGGGAATGGCTCTTTTCTGAGGGGCATCTGTCAGGAAGGCCTGATGCCTAGGGCCCTATGGGCAGAAGTAGAGTCTCCCTGAAGTCATGTCTCTTTCCTTAATCCCCCAAGTCACACAAAATCCCACAGTTCAAATGACTTTGGTCTATGTACCCACAGTGATGGGTGAAGGGAAAAGAGGATGGGATTTCAGAATAAAGGGAGAAGGTGAAGTCAAGGGGAGTCAACAGTGGAGGCTTCTTCTAAGGCAATGCCTCTGGGGTGGCAGATTTCAATTCCCATCCCATAGTCCTCTCCCCATTTGGTATCACCTGCCTACCCTCTTCCCCAGTTGCATACTCGGCCCATAATCTGTGCCATTCTGCCCCTATATCCCTCAATCTCGGTTCTGCCACTCACCCGGTTCTTGTGGGCATTGACTGAGGCATAGCGAACGGTCCCTCGAAACCCAGCCACATTCCGAGGCTACAGAGAAGAGAATACCAAACCTCATCCACTGCCCAGAGGCCTCAGCCACCTCCCAACCCTACTAATCAAACCTGACTCTGCCCACCCTGACCCACAACTATCCCTGCCATGTTGACCTGGGCAGGTTAGATCTGACCTCCCAACCTTGTGACATATTCTCCTACCTCCCATTCCTAAATTCCTGACCCAGAGTGGGCATAAAAGTAGGCCAGGCAGCCACTAAGAGCCTAGACTAAGGGAGAGTGGGGACAGCTTGAGGAGGGACCCCAGAGTTAGATGATGTTGATGTTGAACACAAGGCCAGATCTGCTTAGGCAGCTGCAAGAAAAGTCGATAAAGGGAAACCTTCTGTGAGGGGTCCCCAGATTGGGGGCTGGGGTGGGAAGTCATCCACTGTCCTGATAGCCATGGTCAGGTAGGCATGGATTTGTGAGGGTGGTACTCACAGGCCGTACATCCCCTGTGGTGTTGGTGTACTGTCGGGCCAGTCCAAAGTCCAACATGTAGCACTTCCTATAGGTGGAGGGCAGCCTGCCCATGGCAAAGTTTGACTGAGAAAGACAGTAGCTGTAAGTCCTGGGTCCATTTCCAAAGGAAACAATTCTGCAGCTGGGTTGAGGGAGCCTCACTCCACATGCACTCAAAAATGAATAAAACATCAATATTCATACTTGTGCCACAGGTTATGGTTTATGAAGCTCACATGATTTCATCTGAGGGTCAGGTGTGATCATTCTCATTTTAGAGCTGGGGACACTGAAGTTTAAAGAGGTTAGGAAGCTTCTGCAAGAGAGATCACTTGGCAAGTGATGACCAGCAGACACTTGAACCCAGTATCTCCAGTTCTAAATCCTTAGGACGCTCGAGCAGGCACTGGGGTTTAATGTGGTTTAATGTGACCCATCCATCTCTAAGAAAGCTGAAGGAGACCTGGTGGTTCTTTTTGTGTGACCTTGGGCAATTCAACTAATCTCTCTGGGCTTAGTTTTCATTCCTGTAAAGATCCAAGTCACCACAAAACCCATTACTTAGAATTCCTTAGGACCCTCAGTTTCCTTCCTTCTACTCCTACCCACCTTCACTTTTCTAGGTCTAAGGACTATTAAGATCAGGAAGGTGGAATGAGGAAGAGAAGAGAACCAAGGAGAGGGCAGGCTCACAGCCAAGG